CCCCGCTGCTGCCGCCGGGGCGGTACGCGGTGCCCTCACGCCGCTCTTCGTTCTCCCCGTTCGCTCTCCGCCACGAATGTGCTCCCACTCTCCTGGTAGCCGCGGGAGCAGCCTCCGCCCGCGGCTGCGCACCCCACCGCGCTGAGTGTAAATTATAATTTACAAAGTGTAAATTGTACGGGTGTCCCTCACTGTATTTTTCTCCTTAATGTACCTTGTTCAGCCTGCCGGCTTAGAGGCTGTGGTACGGGTGTGTGACAGGATCCGGATTGCAGTTCATGAGATCTCAGAACGTGCTTGAGCATCTGTGGTATTGATGCTTTATCCAAACAAATCTGAAGACTCTATTTTCTAGGTCGTGTTTTGTACCAAAGATGACATCACTTAGCACTATAAAGATGTGCCAAGTTTAAAAATTTGGGTTTTTTTCCTTTTCAGAAAGCAATCAAGGAAAAAGACATACCGATTGAAGGCCTGGAGTTCATGGGCCCAAGCAAAGGAAAGACTGAAAACTCCTCTTGACCTCAGCTGTATGGATGGAGTCACTGCTGTGAGCCTTTGGAGTGAACAGCGTCACCAGGCGCAAGACTAGATGGCACCTGAATGACGCCTTTGTTAAGCTGCTTTCTGGGAAGCGAGGAATCTTCTCTGCTTGTGAAAACAAACAGCCCCACGCACACACACAAAAAAAAGACTGGATGATGTGGTAACTACTGCCTCCTTTTCAATGAAATTTGGTGGTGGTTCAGCATCTAACCGCGTGAAAAGCCTTTGAACTAACTTCCTACTGAATGTACTCAGTAACGGCAGAATGCTTCTTCGGGTGGGCTGAGGTCGTTGTGTTGTAACCAATTTCTCTTGCTTATTTATATAACACTTAAAAGTGTTTAAAAAGCACATGAAGGAGGTTGATTTACTTTCTCTCATCTCCATGCTGCTGAATTTTGGCGGAAGAAGTGTGTTTTATTTGATGCTGAAGGGCTAAAGCGTTGGTCTGTATCAGCAGCAGAGGTGGTATAAAAGCACTCTGGAACTGCAGGAACTCCCCCACATCAACTACAACCAGGTTATGTTTTATTCGAGTACGTAACTGTCCATTAGCCTCTGTGACCTCTAGGAGGGACCGAGGTGGCCTGCAGCAGAAGCTGGCCAAGGCAATGCGGAGGCTACTTCTTCAGCCTTTTCTGAGGTACTGAAACAGTCCTGACCTTGAATTCTCTCTGCTTTAGCATTATGCGTTCCTGTGGTAAAACTGCAGCGAGACGCTGGCCATTCTTTCCCCTCCTGCCACAAAGCAGCAGGCTGGCCACGACCGCTGTCGGGCTTTTGCGTGTGTGTGTTCAGTGGGGGACACGCTGCCTTCTTGAAGCTCGGCAGCAGATAATGTTAAAGACTCCAGCTGCCCCTTGGGCATCTCGCTCGCTCATGAAGCTGCTCCTGAACTGTGTGCACTTTACACCGAGGAACGCCGTGATTCGTGCTGGCTTGTGGGCTGCAGAAACGCTTGCAGCGACTAGAGAAAGGGTGTAAAGTCGTTCCCAAATATCACAGCCGGCTCATTTGCACCACAGCCCCTTGGTGATGGCCCCAGACACCGAGCAGCGTGGGACCTGCGCACAGCATCAGGAACCACAGCAGGCTGGGGCCGCCGTTCCCTGGGTCTTCGGCAATGGCCTCAACGCGTCCCCTGGGGCGCAGCGAGGTGGGTTGGCCACGCTCCTGTTCTCTGGTGCCAGAGACAGCTACTGCAGTGCCAGTGCAGGAAATAAATGTAGCACTTAGAGTTATTTAAGCTGTTGACACTAATGCTGCTGGCTCACTCGGGTATAAGTAAAAAGAGTAATGAATAAAAATAACTCTAAGAGCACCATAAATTGCATTTTGGGGACTGACAAGTATGCAGCTAATTTTTTTTTTTTTAAGGAGTAACATGTACAACCACTTTGCTTTTCTATGATCATGTTGGAGTAAACATAGTGCAATTTTGTCAGTTAGCTTGAAACAACTGTGGCCATTAGTGCCTCGTTCTGTGCTTTTATCGCAGAGGAGCTTTACTCAGCAGTCATTTTACTCCTGAGCCGATGAGGTAAATGGCATTGAAACGCGGGGAAGGGCATCCCGCAGCGCCCGCTCTGAGATTCTCATCTTGCTGCCGAGTGAGGGACGGCGAGTCAGCTGCTGCGTTCCTCCTTTCGGGGAAAACAGCATTCACAACAGCTAAGGCTCTTTCCTACCACGCAAAAAAATACAGAAGTTGCAGAAGGAATTGGAAAATGGTCGGTATGAATACTGTACTGGAACAGACTGGGGGATTTCTAACTGGCTGTTAACTAGGAAGGTAGTTAAGCTCCTCTGGGCTACAAAGGTTCCGAGTGACACCGTATACATCCATTATACAGGCATACACAGTGGAGCAAAACTGTGTTTTCATTGTAACACCCGTATGAGAGACTTTGTACAACCAGACTGCAGCTTGAGGAAAAGCAGGGTTGTGAGCAACACAGGTGCTGATATACTAGAGAATCGAGGAAGATGATTAACATAGTGAGGGCATGCAGAGCTTAATTAAACATCTCTGCTGCCACGCCCTCTCCCGGAAGGGGCTAAGAGAAAATTGTCTTTGTGACTGTTCGTAAATACTGCAATAGCTGATTATGGAGAATGTGCTTCTGCTTATGTTGGGTTTTAATCTACAGTATTAGCCTGATCCCTGTTCAGCTGGCCGAGAGCTGTGGGTTTACAGTGATGAGTTAAACCAGACCTGAAGAATATGAAAATGAGTAATGCCCTATGCTGAATGCGTTCCTGCTGTTAGCGTTACCAGAGGCAGGAGCAGATGTTAACATTCAGGCAGTCAAACCCTTTTGCTCCTGCACTGTATCCTGTGGGAAGTCTCAATGTTGTAAGCAAATGCTGAACTAAAGAACTCCTGTGGATTAACAAAAAAGTCAGATCTTAAATTCAAGTTCAGAGTTGTTTATTTAAAGGACCTCTACACAAGTACAGACAGGCCACAATGCCATTCACCTTCACTGCAGAAGGACCGTGAGATTTCTTAACGATGGTTCCCACACAACATTCTGATCCGTGATGGAAAGAGCCAGAATTCTGGCTGTGGTCAGGATCTTACTTTTCATCTTCATAACCGGTTGGGAGAGCATTAACATGGGGGTTGTGGAACAGAGTTTTGTTCCCGTCACCCCAGGGGAACGGCTGTCGAAAGAAGAAAGAAAATAAGGCAGTGGCAGCTCCTGGAAGGATCTACACAGCACAGGAAGTCAACAGCAATAAGGACTAAGCTTCACACAGCCTGACGGGCTGATGAATTAAGCAAGTTGGTACCTTCCCCGGGCTGTAGGAAGCAAGAGCTGGAAAACAGCCTCCCTTAGCTGGGAGCCACCGTTTCTAGACAGGATCTTTGCTCTTGCTTAAGCATCAGCTGTGCTATACCGAGGACCCCAGTTTTGAGAATTTGGGGTCTCCTCTGTAAACTTAATCTGCATTAGTCTGGGGCAAGCACAGCTGCTCTAGGACTGAAACGTTTTTCTGCAAGACATCAGCAGGATCACTTGAGAGTGGGAAGGTCTGTGAATATCATGAGTACTTCAGCTGAGCTGTGAGAAACTCCTTTGCTGCCTCAGAAACGAAGCCAGGAGTTACGAACACGGCTATGTATGTATGCTCACGCAGCAGACAAGACCGTAAGAGATGCTGTAGTAACCCCAGAGGAAGCTCTGCAGTCACGGAAAAATAGAGGGCCTTTGAACAGAGCGGGCGAACGTACCTTGGTCCTGATCCGGAGGTGAGCGTAGGGAATAAACTCGGGTCTCTCGTGCTCGTGCTGTGCTTTCAAGTAGCAATTCAGCATGCAAACGCCAACCCCGGGCAGAGCCACGATGAGGCTCAAGCGCTTCCACAAGCGGGCTAGGAGAAAGCATTACACGAATCAGGGCAGTCATCGCTGCCATCGCCGCCAGCGACCCGAGAGCACGTTAAATGCAATTAGTACACTAACGAGGCGTGACACAACGCCCCTCACCAGCGCAGGGTCTCCCTGTCTGCAATGGGCAGAAGAGAGTTCCCGCATGGTTCGGGCCGCAGCTCCCCCGGGGAGACCACCGCCGCCCC